GGCTTGTGACCAGGGGAGACAGAGCCTTTTCAGCTGCAGGACCTCGGCTCTGGAACAACCTCCCASTGTCTGTGAGGTCTGCTGGGTCTCTGAATGAGTTTAAGTCTCTGTTAAAAACTCATCTGTTTAAACAGGCATTTGAATCTGAAAAGCAGGATCATTAGGCCAGCCTTTGCTGTTTTGTTTGATTTTATTCTTCATTTTATTACTGTACTTTGTTCATTGTTTTTATTTTATGCTCCTGTACCTTTGGTTTTTATTGTGCTTTATAAATAAACGATGATGATGATGATAATCCAAATATATCCAAATTGGTCTTACCATCCCAGGCATCAAACATATCTGTGATGAAGTAGTCTATGAAGGAAATTTGAGATTTGGGTACACTGCATGTGTTCCTGTCAAACACAGGCATCACTACAGGCAGGCCCTGCCGCTTCTCCTCATCTGTCTGTAAGGAAAGGAGAAAACTGTTACTTGAAAATACAAAAACTTAATAATTACACAAAGTTATCAAGTCAAACAAATGGTTGATTTTTTTATTTTCTCTGTCTAAGCTTTTGAAACACCTTGTTTTATTATTTATACAGTGTCTTCCTAACCTGGGCAAAGTACTCCTCAGAGATGCGTCCAGCCCACTCGATGCACAGCTCAAGGGGTCTGCAGGGGTTTGCCACATCTGCACACTTAATAAGCATCCTCTTTATCAGCAGACGGTTCTCCGGAGAGTTTCTGATGTTGTTCTGACACTCGTAGTCGTTGCTCATGCTCTGTTAGAACAATAATGGAAAATATGAGCAGCTGTGCAAACAAAAGGATTTATTTCTGATTCATTCATACTAATATTTTTACACCCATTGTGATATCTGAGATGGCTGTAAATATCTCAGAATTCCATGTTTTGTCAAAATAACCAAACAAATTTCATGACAAATTCTGTTCACTCTATAGTATAGTGAACAGTTTTTTTTTATTAAGGATGTGTATACACATCTTTAATAAAAAACTGTGTCTGTGGAAACTGACTGCTGGATAGCTCTTTGTATTCTTCCCCTAAATCAGTATGTTGAACAATTTTTGTTTTCAGGTCATTTAAGAGTTGTTTTGAGGCCCCCATGTTGCCACTCTTTGGAGGGCAATAAGACAGCAAGAAAATCTTGCAGTTGGCCACCTTAAATACCTTTTCTCATCATTGGACACACCTGTCCATGAAGTTCAAAGCTTAATGAGATTACAAATCTATTTTGTGTTCCAATAAATCAGTGCTAAGTAGTTAAAGGTATTCAAATCAAGAAAATGACCAAAGTGCTCAATTTTTTTGCACATGCCAAATATTGTTTTCAAGCATATTACACATTTTCTGTTAATCCAATAAACCTAATTTCACTACTGAAATATTATTTTGTCCATCAGCTATTTGATAAATCAAACTGAAATACTGTAGCTGATACTATAGCTGATACTGTAGCTGATACTGTAGCTGATACTGTAGCTGATACTGTAGCTGATACTGTAGCTGATACTGTAGCTGATACTGTAGCTGATACTGTAGCTGATACTATAGCTGATACTGTAGCTGATACTGTAGCTGATACTGTAGCTG